ATTCAACTTCTCGTTCTGGCGGTAGTCCTTACAATTTTTCAGGAAATACATCAGAAATTTCTGAAACCACTTGGTTGTTCTTCAATTCATGTACATCTTTATTTAGTGCTTCTAATTCTTCCAAAAATACCAGTTCACCATTTTGTAAACACTTTCCAACTTTCCCCTAATCAAAAAAGATTGTGCATTTCAATCACATAAGATATGTAATTGTTTTTCACCCAGCGATTTCAACTTCACTTGCCTTTTTCAGCTTTCAATTGTAACAAAATGATTTATTAACTAATCCCTCCCCAAGATTACATCAAACACTTGAATTGGTATGATAATCAACCCTATTGGCAACTTTTTATCATAAACATGAAAATGCACTAAACATTTTCTATTCGTATGAAACTAACTTTCTGATGGCATAATAACACAAAAATTAGGAGAAAAATGCATAATATTAGGATGTAAATTGACAGCAAATTCATCAAAAATAAAGGAATGTGATGCACCTGAATCGAATAGAACAGTGGAAGACTAATCTTGACTAAGGAGCGTACCTGAAACCACTTCTTCATATTTTTTTAGTTCTTAAGGGGTAATTACAAAATTCGGACTCTTACTGGTCACTCTGTTTTGTGTTTTGAAGTTTCACCATTTGTTTGCACTAAGGGCTTTCTCAAAAACTAAGTTATGCTCGGCTGACAGCCTTTCAAAACGTTTCTAGACTGTCCATGTCCTTGGATTACCTATGGTCTACTGTCTTTTTTTCTTTTTTTGTGGACAATTCATTTGAATGTATCATGGATGTTCACATTTGTAGCATTTTTCGAAACTGATCAAACACTGCCCAAAGTTTCTTTTCTCACTTTTTTCGCTAATTGACTTTCCTACTTGAATCTGCTTCTGCTTGCTTTCTGATTTAATTTTTGGCTTTGAAAGTATTCTCTGTTGTTGAAATCCTTTCCTTGTCTGCCTCAGATTGCCACTACTGACTGGAAAAGTCCAGCTCATTTTCAATTCTTCTTGCCCTTTCAACAGGCACGGAGAGATCGTTGATTTCAAATGGAGCTAATGTCAAGCTCAACTGATCTCTCAGACCATGCAGAAATCTGTGACACTTTCTTCTTGAATGCTGACGCAGTGGGGTACATATCTGGAAAGAGAAGCAAATTTTACCTCATATTACATAGTTGTTTTGGATCCCTGAGTTAGATTGAAGAATTTGTCTTGTAGTACTAATCTGACTTAAGACGGAATGAACCAAATTTTCAAGACTTTAACAAATTCTTCCCACTAAATGTATGGAAGAGGTGTCAGTTAAATTTTTTTCTTTATGTTGTGTTTGCCATTACATTTTTGCCTCGTCTTCTAACATGAAGGTAGCTAGTACTACTTTTCTGTTTTCCGAACAAATCATACCATCCAAATTTTTTTCAATCTTCAGGAGCCAATTTTTAGCAACTGTAGGTTCACTGGCACCCTTGAATGCAAGTGGCTTGAAGACTAAAATATCTTTAATTGTCGATCCACTTCTGCTCCATTTCAGATCTAGGCCATGTACTAGTGGGGGATCTTTCAATTACAGTCATTTATCAACCACTTGTGATATATGTTGCACAATGCCCTGTAACTCATTGGTTCTAGTGTCTGCATTTTTCTTGTTCTTATTTTCATTTTTGCCCAAAAGAGTATCAGCTTGAACTTCATGCTTTGCATTTCGCCTAAAAGACTGGTCTTTCGTACTTTCGACTCTTCTCCAAACATATTTATTTGTATTAACACAATTTATTATTCACATACAATTAATCATATAGTAATATTATCGTGCGCACATGACACCTTAAGTCGTAAGGGTTACCCACCCCAGATTTATCAACCTATTGCTCTATATAAATCAATTCATATTTTTTTTCATTCTTACATCTTCTAAATCAAACACACTTCCATTATTCTTTTCATCAATGCTCTGATACCACTTTCTATCACACCCAATTGACCTTCCCTTTAAGGTTTGGTTGAGTTGTGACTGATGCGGACAATATGGTCAGACTAAATTCTCACCAACACCGTCCTGACTTATGGAATCAGAACCCAAGAGATGATGAACTAGTCTCACTAAATCATCACAAATGTTATACATTGTACTTCATAATTCATTAATATTTATACTTGGTAATGTGAAAAATCATAACCTCAAAATATGTAAACCATACAGAACTGTTAAATCCAACATATATAAAATATATATCCAAAAGTAGCACAAGCTCCGCAAAACTATAAATGCAAAAGCTTTACAAGTCATACTTGGCCACTCGTGCCCTCACTTGCGTCGCACGAAGTCCTTCCCTCCCGATAAAAGGTTAACATTAGATTTTATACATGAAAAATAAACGTGCATGCTCGTAGAAAATTTTACATGTCTACATATAAATCATAACATGATGACATAAAATCCGGGTTAACATTAGATTTTATACATGAAAAATAAACAACGTGCATGCTCGTAGAAAATTTTGCATATCTACATATAAATCATAACATGATGACATAAAATCCAAGTACAAAAATCAAGAGTACAGTGTAATATGTAGGTCGTAAGCATGAAACCATAAACATATTCATAGTACATTATCCTAGTAGTGTCATTTCGTAGAGATCATATCATAACAATGTCATTTGTTTAATGTACAGGGTTCGACTATTTTCATATTCTTTCATAATGGGTCATCACCCTGCCCCAAAGTCATATAAACCAACAATAAAGGTTGGGTTTCCTCCGATATAGCAGTTATTGATAGCCCCCTGATACCCACGGTTCCCTAACGTTTTGTCACTGTCTAATCCCAAAACTTCTCAGTTTCATCCACATATAAATATCAGGGGTCGGGAATACATTCTTCCATGTAATAGTCTACTCATAATGCTACTCGGGACATTTCTTAAGGCATAATACATGTAACATACATTCATGGACAGTTCATATGCATGTATGAATTATAAATGAATATCTGCAATATATCATAATATAGCATAACATCATATGTATAGTAAAAGAAGTAAACTTGCATTCATACATTTTAAGTATGTAATAATCTACAATATGCAATAAGTCTAAATGCTCCCATGTCGAACGAGAAATCATATGAAACCATAGAATGTTACTTTTCTTAAATTAGCACAAGATTGTTTTATTTTGGCTTGACGGAGCAGCCCTACGATGAATGCCCACACACTTGTCTCGAGCTCGCCGCCTTGTATATATTGCCTGGAGCTCGTAGAAAATATAGAAATTCATAAAAATTTGGCTCAAAACATGAATAAACCCAAAAATATGCTTTACTTGCCAAAACATAGCTCAAAAGGGTTTTCGGCATAAATTTTCCTTTCCAAAATCACCAAGTCTCTGAACTTCTTCTTATGCCCCTTAATCTCTGAAATGAGAAAAACATGAAAATGAGGCAAACGTCAAAATGAAAGTGCTACGAAGGAAATGAATACTTAGAATGGTGAGAGAGATTCATACCCTTAGATTTCTCCCCGATGTCCTGGATAGTGAGTTGTGGCATCCAAGGGGCCGCTTGGTTTGCATTTTACCCGCGTTTGTTCGCCCATTGCACTGTAGCAACGGTCGCAACCTTGCTACAAGAGGTCAAACGAACTCCTTCTCACAGGGAGAGGGGAAGAAATTTCGAAGCTGGTGTCTGCCCTATTCAACAAACGAAGGAATAAAAAGGGAAGGAACGTCGGTTGGCTACAATGAAGCTGGGGGATTAATGTAGGATTAGGGACTAATTAAATTTAAGTAATTTAATAAAACTTATAACTTTCAAATTTTCTCTCTCTCATTATGTTCATTATTCTTGTGTAGTATTTTATATGGAATTGATTGATTTCATGCGTAGAATTTAATAAAGTTATTTTGGTCAAATTTCAGAAGATGAAAAATTTGGGGCACTTTTCAATTGTGTCAAACTTTCCTGATTTCTCGAAATTTGGCCATTACAGAAATCGCCCTTATCTCCCCTTAAGGATTAAAGTAGGTCTCTTTATATGCATTCTTAGGAGGATCCCGAGGAGATTGGCGACCATAATGAATATAATTGTTGGAGTGAACTTTCCTATTTTTTGGAATAGCATGGATGTCCATCTTGACTAGAAACTAGCATACAACATATCTTTTGATATTTATGTTTATCTATACAAATGAGCTTCCCAAATTTAGATATAATATAGTTCGGTGCATTCCAATGCCATTGACAGTACAGTAAGGTACAAATCACTGCCCAACATTAGTCAATTCTGATTTTTTAGTCTCCGATGCTTATTGCAGCATCTACTAACAAGATGATCCAGCGCTTTTCTTGAATTAAACTTAGAGGAGAAGGAACCGTTTTCTATGAGAGTAACAGAATGAATGTAGTCATCATTCCATTGAAATTAAGGAGATTGGAGAGCTCGACTAGAATATTCTGTAAATTGGAGGCAATCATATGACAATCTCTTTGTCAATATCTTTTGAAAAAGGGCCACAGATGAACGATGGCAATCTTCTTGCCCAAATAACTGACACCATTCAGGAATTCTCGAGCAAAACTTCTATTCTGCAAGCACTTTAAACAAGTAAAATTAGCAGAGGAGTCTTTCAAACCTTGAAAATGATAATTTTTGAGACAATGGCTTATACACTTTCCTGTTTTGTGGAAAATGTTAACAACTAATGCAAAAGAAACCTTCCTTATACATGGTTAAGGGGGTCTCTTTGTCTGTAGTCCACCCTAGGCTTCACACCAACAGGCTATCCATCCATATCTATGGCTTCAACTTTTGTGCAATTTTAAACCCTTTTGATTGGAAAGTCTGTCATTTTCATTTGAACATTCGTTTAGCATATACACTTTAACTCTTCCGGCTTTTTGTAATGTTTATTTTTGCAATTTATTTCTGCCCTATGCGTGTTTTGGCATTGAGTACATCTTGTCTAACATTGCTTCATTGCTACTTCCATGCAGCAATAGATATTTTAAGAATGTTAATCATACATCATGATGGAGCTAGTAGGCTTCTCAACTACATTGAACAGGGAAATGGTATGATCATGGTGGAATTGTCTTTCAAGCTTTTGCGTGTGAAAGAAAGCCTGTGAATGAATTAATTTCTGGAATTTTAGATTCAATTTCTAAAAGAATGGTCTTTGCCATTTTCTATGTTATACGGATGTATTTATTTGTCCTGAGATGCGACATTTTTGAACTGTTGTAGATATATGCTTGGAGATATTAAAGAGAACGACAGCAGCCCCAACACATGCAGGGAACCTTTTAACCATCATACGTGCCATCACTAACCTCTTTAAGCACTCATTTTTCTCTCAGTGGTTACAAATTCATTGCAGTGAGGCAGGTTTTCTTTTATTTTTATATGAAAGATTTATATGTATGACTGTCTCATGAACAATTTAAACTCCCAATGTAGACTTTCATTTTGGAAAGCAAAAAGTTTGTGATGTTGTAGCTTTTTTATGTTTGAGAAATATTTCAGCACAAGTTGAATTTGTTCTTATCCATTTGAGAGACTCTTTACAGGCCTTTATTCATTTGTGTGTCCATATGCAAGTGGGTAAAATGGACTGAAATACAAGGATTGTTTCGAATTTAGATAGATTTGCTATCACATAATATTTGTACTATTAGAAGTGCACTTCAACGTGGACTTTAGGAACGAAGAGAAGTAATGCATATTTATGTTGGCCTGCTGTCAATTTTAGAACCTTATATTTTTGCAATTACATATTTGAACTACAACTGAGTAAAACATGCTTGCCATGTTATAATTATGTTTTAGTTTTTAGTTTAAGAATTTCCATTATTATTTTTCTATCAAAAGAGGATGGAAAGAAGCTTGTGCTTACTGTTCTGCTATCATTTTTAGAACTTTATACTTTTGCAAATACATATTTGATCTACAACAGAATAAAACATGCCTGGCATGTAATAATTATGTTTTAGTTATTATTTTAAAAATTTTAAATGCATCTTGTATCTTGTTATTTCATGCAATAGTGTTTCTTAAGATGTTTTTTTATGAAATTTGTAGATTCTTGATGCGTTGTCAGACTGTCAACCATCATTTAACAAGAATGTTAATTTGTCTTACTCGACATTGTTACTCAAGTAAGTAACTATTATCTTGACTATTTGATGCAATTTATTGTTTTTAGTGTTGCACATGGAGTCATTGGCATTGGTTTTATTCAAAAGCACATTTGATATTACGAGCATAATCTATCGCACCATATTGCATGGGAATCATCATAAATGAAATTGTACCATTTTTTATGCAACTCTGCTGTAAAACTTTTACTACTTTGTGTGATCGTTGGGAGATTTTTAGGATTTATTTATTAGATGTGTCGTGATACTTATTCTACTTATAAATCTACTTTCATCTTTAGATTCTCCTTTAATACTACGTGAATGGTGACCTGACAGGATAGATTGGTTCTTTTTAATTTTTAGATGCTATGATTTTTCTGAATATAATTTTATTGGTCGCATAATTCTAACTTGATAGAAGGCTGGAGGTTCTTCACTGGATTATTGGTTAATATAGTCAACATTTCACTTCATGCAATCATATAGTGTGTTGTCCCAAGTTCGAAGTTTTGATTGACATCTATTTATTAAAATATTAACTTTTTTAATGCATTCAAAATGTGCTCTTTGAATGCAACTGATTGCACAGAAACCCCACCTTTCATCTAGCATCCTTACTCCATATAATGAGAAGGCCATTGAATTGCATTCCTTGAGGTTTCTTTAAGATTAAATTTTAAATGGTCTCTCAATTAGTCATGTATGGCTAATTTAGTCCTACAGTATCATATTTCTGCATTTTAACTTCTCGATTTATAAAATTGATCCAAAATGGTCCATGGTATAATTCTTTTAAACACATTCATAAGATAGAAATACTAATATTGAATTAACTTGATTAACCATATTTAACTCATTTTTACAAAATCAGTGTTATTTATGAACCATATGAAATTTAATAAACTTGCAGCATGAAAAATACTTAATTTAGACTATTATTGATAATTGCATTAAGTTTTTAATCCTTAAGTAGGTTAGTAATGACATAATCACCATAATTATCATACTCAACTAAACCCCCTGATAGGTTCAATCGTGGTTCGATAGAGGTTGGCAATTTGTTCAGACTAACTCTCACTAGTACGTCCTGACATTTATAAACAGAACTTTGTGGATAATGAATTAGTCTCACTGGATCGCAGTAATGTGCATGATACCTTGTATTTTAAAGACATACTCGAAAGCATGAAAATCATATCATCCAAAATATGAAAATTGTACAAAGCTGCTAAATTCAATAAAATAAAATACGTACACAACACATGTAAAACTATCAGGCAAAAACTGTACAAAAACACACCGAGGTACTTGCTCTGCTGCCCGTTACCCCAACCTGGAATGCAGCAACGAAGAAATAGCAACAGCAAACTCAAGGAAATAATCAGGACTAACATAAGATTTTATACATGAAAAAAAAAAACATGCTTGATCGTATCAAACTATACATGTATACACACAAGTCATAACATGTTAGCATTATAGAGAACAAGAAAAGAGAGCAGATACATGTAGTATAAAAAACAATCACGATTGAAGTATAACATGTAGATCGTAAGCGTCAAATTATAAGTAAAATAAAAAACATGTTCATAGTATATTATCCTAGGAATATTGTTTCATAGGTGTCATATCATAATAATGTCACTTGTCTAATATATAGGGCCCAACTATTTACATGTTTTTTAATCATGGGTCGTCACCCTGCCCAAAATATCATATAAACTACCAATACAGGTTGATTTCTTCCATTATAACAGTTATCGACAACCCCCCTGATACATACGGTTCTCTAACATTTTGTCACCTTTTGTCACCATCATAATAATGATACATACATCAGGAGTAGGAATACTATATCCTTACATAATATACTTGCAAGCAGTCATGTAATTGTCTACCCATAGCATTACTCGTAATATTTAAATGTCACTTCTGCATCAAGCATTTATCAGGCATTAAATGTATCATAGGCATAAGCTTCAAGCATAACAAATGATTACCTACAGGAAATCCATATCATATGCATAGGCATATGTAGCGTAGTCTGATCATAGCATTACATGTATTGTAAGAAAAGTAAACATGCATTTATATTTTCAATTGCAGGTATCCATTTACAATACGCAGAAAGTTTTAAATGCATCTGTTTCAAAATAAAAATCACATGAAAACCTATAGAATGTTATGTCTCTGAAATTAGCACAAGATTATTTCCCCTGACTTGACGGAGCAGCCCTACGACGAGTCCTCACATGCTCGTCTTGAGCTCGACACCTCGTATGGACAATATAGGATTTCCTAAAATTTGACTCATAACATGCATTAACCCAAAAATGTACTTTTACTATCCAAAACATATCTCAAATTATCTTTTTGGCATAAATTCACTTTTTCAAAATCACCAATTTTACTTTTCCTCATTTCTATCACCTCAAACCTTCTCATTGATTTCGTGCTAAAATATTTTTAGAAACTCGCAAAATCAATTACAGCACTTTCGGCACAAAATCTGTGCCTCTATTGGCTACAGGAAATGAGAAAAACACAAAAAACGAGACAAATGTCAAAACGAAAGTGTGAATAAGGAAATGAAAACCTCAATTAACATGAGAGAGGGATTCATGCTTACAGAAATCAGCCCGAAACTTCAAATCGCAAGTTGCGGCTTCCCTGTGTTCTATTTAGCTCTCCTACTTGTGAACTGGCTACAGTACTCAAGTCAATCCTTCACTAGATTCGCCTTCCGAGTTCCTGGAGTAAGGGAGAGGAGATCGCGAGAGAGGAGGAAAAAAATTCGGGAGGGAAGTAAATCAATGCACACTCATCCTATTCGACCAAAAGCAATGAAATAAATGGCGTGAGGCGGTGGAGAATTGTAAGGTTACGGGAGATTAAGGAGAAAATTAGAATATTTAAGGATTTATTTAAATTAATTAAACTTATAATTTCAATATTTTATATTTCCCACTCCATTCATAATTCATATATAGTACTTTATATGAAATTGATCAATTTTATGTATAGAATTTTATAAAATTATTTTGATCAAATTCCGGAAGATAAAAATTTTGAAATAATTTTTCAATTGTGTCGAACTTTACCTGATATCTTGTTATTTGGGCATTACAATAAATCTATTACTATAGCAGTTCAATATGTATAATGAAATATATAGAATTAATTGAACTTGTTAACACATATTGGTAATTATTATCATAATGATTAACCAATTAACTATACGATTACAAATAAATTAATATTAAAATATCTTTTGTATATTAGTGATGGAAATTAAATAATTAATGTTGAAAATTAAATGTAATAAATTCCTAAAATTACAAAATATTACGAAATATTTTTTAAAAAAATTAAAATAAATTTTCAAACTATATTTAGTCAGTTTTATTAATATGTTCATCAATCGTGAAGACTTGTAATGATCTAAACTTAATCATATCTGTAGCTACCAAGGACACCCTAAATTCACGCAAGGGCACATAACCTTGGATTTTTTATCTTGGATCTTGTTGCTTCAATTATTGAGTTCTTTTCTCAAATCTTTAAACACTCTAGGTTTACATAGTGAGTCAATTTTGTCATCTATATCATCTTGAAGGTTTAACCTGATTTACCTGTAAATCATCTTGATTATTGCAATGACTTAATTAACTTGTAGAGAACTCTTACCATGTTATTAGGCTATATCAAATAATTTTTTTTATAATCAAATTGAATAATGAGCTATGAATAGATATATACTCAATAAGAATTTGATTATTTTATATATTAACATTAAAGTGACTTACTAGGACCTCAAAATCAATTTGGGAATAACAAGCTCTAACTCAATTCCTTGGTTTTTGTCTAATCAACCAAATTGAGATTATGATCATTTTGTTGACATGGTAATTTATTTCTTGAAATGGTTCTGAGATTATTTTGTTGTTCATGAGTTTTTGTCCTAATGTTTTTGGGTTTTCTAAGAAACGTCTGGCTTGAATTTGGAATCATTTGGTAATTAATTGCATTAAATGTTGAGTGTTACGGCCTTTTGATTTTCAAATTTGTACTGTGATGATTTGCCATTCATTAGAAGATTTATTGTTCTATGGTGATCTTTTATTCATTGGAAAATCCATTGCTCTGAGATTGCCATGGATAATTCAGAATATTTGACTTTATGGGTATGTTTTTGAATGATATTGGTATTCTATTATATAATTTCTCAATCGCTATGATGTGTAGACACAGAAGTGAAAATTTAGACAAAATATGAGATTGACATGGGACTTGAAAATTCTTGAAAATATAGGATATAGTCATGGGCTGGATAGGACATTCAAAAAATAAAAAAAAGAAAAAACAGATCTCTATTTTATAATTTAAAATAATTTTTAGATCATAATTTTTATTATATCATCGTACTTATAACTATAATATATTTTAAATATTACTTCTCATATTTGGAGTGGCATGGTTTGTGTGTACTAAATGCCCATTATATATACACAATGTGCCAAGAGCCATTCAAAAATGTCCAAGATGTGCTAAATGAGTGTGCAAGAGGTGTCCAAAAAAAGCGATAAATTTTTAAGAGGAATGAAAAAATGAAACCAATTTATGCAGTAATGCTCCTAGAAAGATTTAAAGAGCGCAATCAAACTATAAGTGCTAGAAGATTCATGAAGAAAAAATTATGTAGGTTTTCATGTGTAAGAAAGATGAAATCATAAAAACCTTTTTTAGTTGATTTTCTTTTGAAAACTCTCCCAAAATGAAATTTCAATTGTGATTTTTTTTTTTTTTGGCTTGAATCATCCTTCATTGAACTAATGAAGACAACTATGAACGATATCTGTACCTATGCCTTGCAAGATATCAACTACTAGTAATAAGTTAGTTATTGACCTTTCGAAGCAGCTAATTGTGGAGGATCAAATTGAAATTGGGAGATCCAGTAAAGTCGTGGAGCTCCAATTAGCTAGCTTGAGAGTTTAGTGAAGTACTTTGAATTAATGAACACATTGAATCAATGAAGCCATTAGTATTTGTCCTTCAAGGTGACCTTGAGCTTGATAAAACAAAGACTATGGAGATGGTCTCTGATCTTCAGTTTTTTTTTCAGAAGTTGAGAAAATATATTTGAGTGACTCACAAAGAAATTTGTTGTTTTATCTAGTCGCTTTCGTAATGTTTCAAATGATGTTTCTAGGGCATTTGGCAGGAAACAAATGTATTGAAAGATGAAGTCATTACTTTGAAAGAAGTCATTATCTTCTAAGAGAAATGAATTTGCTAGTGGTTCTGAGTTCTTGCTTTGCCTCTTGATTCACATGGATCCATCTTTAAGGATGCTATGCTTGATCATGTTGATGCATCATGGATCCATATTCTAAGAGTTATCAACTACTTGGAATAAATTAGTTATTGACCTTTTGAAGCAGCAAATTGTAGAGGATCAAATTGAAATTGGGAGACCTAGTAAAGTTGCGAGTGTTGAGCGATATGCTTCAGCTCCAATTAGTAAGCTTGAGAGTTTAATGAAGTACTTTGAATCAATGAGGACATTGAATCAATGAAGACATTGGTATTCGTCCTTCAAGGTGACTTTGAGCTTGATAAAACAAAGACTATGGAGATAGTCTCTTATCTTCAATTTTTTTCAGAAGTTGAGAAAATATATTTGAGTGACTTACAATGAAATTCGTTGTTTTATCTACTTGCTTTTATAATGTTTCGAATGATGTTGCTAGGGCATTTGGCAAGAAATGAATGTGTTGAAGGATGAAGTCATCACTTCGAAAGAAGTCCTTTTCTTCCAAGAAGAATGAATTTGCAGTGGTTCTGACTTGCTTTGCCTCTTGATTCATCGTGGATCCGTCTTTAAGGATGTTATTCTTGATCATGTTATACAGGCACCGAGTTAGAAAATTCAGCAATGCCTTCAAGTCATCCTCAATATGTTTTTCCTTGCCAAAAGCAAAGGAAATTTTTCTTTAGTATCTAGCAAAGGAAATTTTTCTTTAGTATCTTGTTTATTTTTTTATGTATATTTTTTGTGATAATGAAGAATCTCTTATATGAATCATGAGCCGTTCTCTTTAATCTTTTTTTTTTTTTGCTGGAAAGATTATATAATTTGTGTTTTGGTTGCTTGAAATTTGATTTGTGCGTGGTCATTTGAGTTTCTAGAGTGCACGTTATTTTAAACCTTTGCATAATCTTTTAAAATAAATGTTTGTTGAAATTTTGTTCTCTTTGATTGATTGAAATGATGACTTTGGATTTAATATTTTGACATTCTGACTTCCACGATTTCTCTATAAATAGAATCTTAAATTTCCATTTATTTTTTTGCTCTCTTTGTTGTTTGGTGACTTTTTTAAACTATTTGGTCACACTGATTATTTGAAGTTCTCTTTCTTCAAATTTGTTGAGAGAAGTTTTAAATTGGCTTTCCATATTATACTTAAATGTTTTGTTGTCTAGAGAGACCCAATCTGCATCAGTAAAGCTTTTTTCTTACCCTTTCATCAACCTTTTTTTTAGTTATTCTGTGCTGTTAATTGGAATGAAGGATGCTGAAGGCCAAGGTCAAGTTCTATCAGCTGCTCTTGGGGTATATTAATATTATTTAACTCCATATCCTGCATGTTCCAGAAATTGTTGACATGTTGTATATTTCTCCATATGATTAGCTCCAGCTTATTTCATGTTGGTTTGATATTGCAATAATACCCAGGTTGCAGAGGATCAAAGTCTTGACGTCGATTCAAAATTTCGAGCACTGGTTGCAATTGGATCACTTGTATCCTTTAAAAACTACTTTTCTATTATTTTTTCAGGAGTAAATTATATCATATTATCTATGTTATCAAAGAAATAATTGTTCTAACAACTTGTTGGGCTTATATAGAGCCTTACAATGTTCTTACAATTAAACCCCTAGACTTCTTCTATTTGTTCTATTTATAAATAGAACTCTAAATTAGATACAAATCTCAACACTCCCTCTCAAGGTGAACAAAGGATATTTAGTAAGCCCATCTTTTCACATAACCTAGACAAATCTAATGAGCTAATGAGCTAAGTCCTGGTGAGGCAATCAACCACTTACTCTCCAATGGCTACATAACTTGGCTTAAGTAGTTTGTTATTCAGCTTTGCCTTAATGAAGAACCTATCAATCTCCACATTTTTGGTTCTATCGGGTTGCACCAGATTGTTGGCAATGTTGATTGCTAACTTCTTGTCGTGCCACAACTTCATTTGAGTTTCTTGGTCCCCCTTAAGCTCTACCAATATGGCTCTCAGCCACATCATCTCGGCAATTCTTAAGGTCATGGTCCTGTACTCCGTCTCTGTTGTTAACCTCGCTACTACCTATTGTTTCTTGCTATTCCTAGAGACCAAGTTGTCCCCTACGAACATGCAGTATTTTGATGTGGACCTCTCTTCATCCGCACTTGCCCAGTCAGGGTCAGAAAACTCTCAATGCCTACATTTCTATTCTTCTTGAAAATCAACTCTAGAGCACGCATCAGGTACTTTTGAACCCGATACACTGTCTCCATATGACTCTTGGATCATGCATCTAGCAACTCACCATACTCACTGTAAATGAGATGTCGGACGAGTGTTACTCAGATCAAATGACCTGCCAAATTCTGGCACCTCTCATGATCAACTAGCTTTCCCGTCTCTACGCTCAACTTGGCCTTTTGATCAATTGGAGAAACTGCATGCTTACATCTTAACATAATTTTTCTGTGAGGATATTTAGTACATACTTCCTCTGAGACAATATTACCCCTCTGGTCTACGGGCCACCTCAATCCCAATGATACTTCACCTCCAATTGTTTGTTTAATCTTAGCTTTACTTGAGCATTCTCTGCCTCATCATGTAACACCAGAATTTGAGAACTAGGTTAAGATTTTTTTGAGAAATTTGAAGTATCTTAAATATTTCGCACCCCTCAGATTTCAGTCAAATTAATTTTATAATTTTGTGCATGAAAACGATCAATTCCATATGAAGCATTATATATTTATTATAATTGGATTGAGAGATATAAAATCTGGAAGTTATAAATATAATTACCTTAATTAAATCTAAATTATTTTTCAAACCCTCCCTAATCCCACCTATGAACTATAGTCATGGACCTCACTCGTGATTTTCGGCCATTCTATTTGATGAAATGGCTGAGAGATGGAAAGGATCATGTGAAATGTCGTTTAGCACTCCCTTGTTTCTTGAATTATCCTTCATGACGCTGCAGCGACTCAGGTTACTATACTATAGCACGAGCAGAGAGGCGAGCACAAGCTCGAGACCTACAACCTTTGAATTGAGGTTTTGGGGCAAAAATGAAATGTATGGAACTCATTTTAGCAACAATTGAGACATTCATTTCATTTCTTTTGTTTTTGTTTTGACGAAACTCATTTTAGCAACGACATTCATTTCATTTCTTTTGTTTTTGTTTTGACGTTTGCTACAAATTCGTGCATCATTTCCATTTCTGACAATTGTAGTAAGCATCGACATATTGTCGGAACTTCGAACTTGGTTTGTGAGCTTCCATAAGGGTTTTAACACAAAATCAACAGAGAAGAAAGGAGGATTGAGCTGTTAAAAAGAAGAGGAGAGAGGTTTTGGTGGATCAGAGAAAGGTTGGGTTATGCCTAGAAGACCACCATTTGAGGTTTATTTTGGCAAATGAGTCATGTTTTGGGTTAATGTGCGTTGTGAATCAATTTTCATGAAACCCTTAATTACCTAAGAATTCCATGTTATTTACATATGGCGACAAACTCGAGACAAGCATGTAGGAGCTCATCGTATGGCTTTTCCATTAAGTCATGTGAAATAATCTTGTGTTAACTTAAGAAAAATAATTATTTATGGGTTTTTATGTGATTTCACATTTGAAATCGATGCATTTATAATTTCCTACATATTGTGGATGAATATCTGTATTGAATGTATGAATAGAAGTTGATTTCTTCTTACGATACATGTGATGTCATTATGTTATGATTATGCTATGATACATTAACTATGCTTATGATATTAATTGTTTGAAGGCATTCATTTGTTATGATTCATATATGTTGTTTATGAAATGTCTATGAATGTGTGATATATTTATTGTGCATTTAGAATTTCTTGTATGTTGTGGATGAATATTTGCATTGAATGTATGAATAGAAGTTGAGTTCTTGTTACGATAGATGTGATGTCATTGTGTTATGATTATGATATGATACATTAACTATGTTTATGATATTAATTATCTGAAAGCATTCATTTGTTATGATTCATACATGTGGTTTATGAAATGTCTATGAATGTGTGCTACAGGTATTATGCTTTAAGAAATGTCATAAAAATATTATGGTAGACTATTATATGAGTGCTTTCAAATGTGTTATGTAAGGAGATGACATTGCCGACTCATGGTGTTTAGGCGGCAAGGAAACTTCGAATTGTGTCGTGATTAGACGGTGACATAACAAAAAGAATCGTTGGTATTAGGGGGTTATTACTAATTGTTATGTTGGGGGCCCAATCTTTATCAAAAGTTAATATGATCTTTATGACATGGTGATGATCTATGATATGACAGGACATGAAAAGAATTGAGGTTTATACATTTACAAGTGACATTACTATGCTATGATGATATTGATATGATGACAATGTTATGATGACATTGCTATGACTATAGTACTATGAATATGTCTATGATTACATGCTTATAATTATACATGTTTTATATAAAACAGTCATGTTTGTTTACACTACCTATTTCCTTTCCCTGTTTTATATGATTTTAATGCGCGACTTTGTGTAGACATGTATGGTTTCATATGAGCATACATATTGTTACTTTTTCAGATATAAAATCTTATTTTAGTTTTGATTTTTTCACTAAGTTTGTTGTTGCTCACTCTAAGTTGTTTACTTTCAAGACGGGGCAAGGAGCACCAGAGCGAGTAATTAGGTGTTATTTGTATAGCTTTTGCACTGTATAGTTTTGGTTATTTGTACAACTTTTGGGTACTTTTGTTTATGTTGGATTTAACGGCTCTATATAGTTTATATGTTTTGAGGTTATGGTTTTCTACGCTTTCGTATATAAATATGAATGAATTATGAAAAGTAATATATCACATATATTTGCGGCAATTTAGTTTGACTTTTTCATCACTCACTTCGTTTTGATTATGCAAGTCATGATGAGTGTTGGTGATATTTAGTCTGGTCGAATTGGCCATCTTTGTAGCATCTTATTTGACTCTTAAAAGGGGACAAGTTGGGGTGTGATAGAAAGTGCTATCAGAGTATGGTTAATGGATGAAGAGAAAGATGGAAGCGTATTAGATTTATATAAACTAAGAATGAGATTAAATATGAATTGATTTATTCATAACTATAGGTTGATGAATTTGGGGTAGTTATCTCATACGACTTAAAATATCATGCATGCTTGATATAATTATTTTATGATAAATTGCATTTGAGTAATAGTTATTGTCAATATAGATAAATACATTTGAAGGAGAATTAGAAAGTATTGATGATCAATCTCTTAGACCAAGTGTGGAGCAAAAAATAAGATATGAAAACATTTTGAGCAGAAATGATAATCAAAATAGAGCAAATGAGGACCGGAGCAACTAAGCTACAGGACATCGTTCTATTGATATTCCAAGTGGTCGACAAAAATGGTTGTTATTGGAAGATTTTTCACAAGTACAAGGCCCAGATCTGAAGCTAAGACAGAGTTGATCGCCATTGGAAAATCTTTCAATCTTTTAAGCCTCCTGCATTCAAGAATGTCAGTGACCCTATAGATGTTGAAGATTGGCTTCTGAAGATCAGAAAAATTCTTGATAGTATGATTTGTTTGAAAACCTGGAGAGTAGTGTTAGTCGCTTTCATGTCAGAAGACACAAAGATGGTGACAAGCGTAGGATAGAGAAAATTTTCTTTTGACACCTCTTCCACTGATTCAATAGGATGAGTTTGTTAAAGTCTTTAAAGATTGATTTGTTATGCTTTTGATTAGATTAGTATTGCAAGTCAAATTCTTCAATCTGACTCGGGGGTCTAGATCAATAATGCAATATGGGGAAAAAATTATTTCTCTATTCAGATCTGCACTTCAATATGTTAGTACTCGGGAAGAAAAATGCCTCTGTTTTTTGTGCGACTTTAGAGATTAGTTGGAGTTGGCTTTGGCACTGTTGGAAATAAATGATTTCTCGGTTCTAGTTGAAAGAGTCAGACAAAGTGAAAATGAGCTGAATTTTTCCAGTTAACAGTGCCACCTCAAGCGACAAGTAAAAGGATTTTGCCAAAGGATTCCAAAGCAAGAAAATTAAATAAGAAGGTAAGCAGAAGCAGTCTCGAGTAGACAAGTCAATTGTGAAAGTTGTGGAAAAATATATTTTGGGCAATGTTAGATTGGTTTTAGAAAATACTACAAATGTAGACTGTTAGGTCATATTCAAATAAACTGTCCACAGGAAAAGAAAAGAGACAACAGACCACTAACAATTCAAGGACAGGGACAACCCAATAAATATTTGGAAGGCAGCAAGTCCTGCAAATTCCAAGTTTCGAGAAAGCCTTCAACTCAAGCAAAGAGTGAAACTTCAGAGCGCAGAACTGTGCAACTAGTAAAAGCTTGAGTTTTTGTAATTATCCCATAGGAAACCAAAGAATTTGAAGTTGTTGCAGGTGCGATTCTAATTTAAGATCGTTCTAGCATTATTTTATTTGATTGGGGTGAAT